GGAATGTACCTGTTTTATGAGTTTTTGGGTCAGTATCAAAGTATGGTCAGAAAAGCTGTACGCATTTGTGCACTCTGAGAAGACACATTCAGTTGCATGTGAATGTTGATTTCTGTGTAACCTCACCAGTCCTGGGTATTGTTTCTAAAAACTCTTTGTCAGTTTAGCAAGTAAAAGGTTGTATCTTACTTTAATTTGTATTTCTTGGATTAAACTCTTGTTTGACATATTATGTTTTTTTTTCCTTTACAACTTGTCTTTTAGTGTTTTTTGCCCATTTTTCTCTTGGATATTTGACTTTTTCTTTTTGATTTGTAATTACAGTGATGCCCTTTCTACTTTTTCTCTTACTCTTTAATCTTGTTATAGTGTTTTAAGACCTTGGCCTTTTTATGTAGTGAAGTCACTCTCTTCCCCCCCATACACACACACTTGTGGCATTGTAGGCCTTTGATGACCAATTCTTTTTAGTATAGTGACTCTGTGTATTCCTTCCATCTTCCTTTGATGCTTCTTGCATCATTTATTGTTTTATCTATAGAATCCTTTCATATTGCAACTTGAGGCTTGAATTTTTCCTTCATTTCTTTCTGAATGAATGAGAAATGGAGAGCATGTTCTTCCCTTTTGGTTTTCTAACTCCAAATCTTTGTGCATTTCATTATAATACTTTGTCTTCTTGAGCCAACCTTTGTAATCATCTGTTGAATCACGTCTTTTATTTCATCATTTTTTCCATTAGCTCTAGCTACTCTCCTTTCAAGAGCAAGTTTCAGAGTCTCTTTTGACATCCATTTTGGTCTTTTCTTCCTTTCCTTTCTTTTTAATGATCTTTTACTATCTTTATATAGGATGTTCTTGATGTCATCCCACAACTCATCTAGTCTTCAGTCATTAGTGGTCAGTGCATCAAATCTGTTCTTGAGGTAGTTTCTAAATTCACATGGGATATAATCAAGGTGGTACTTTGGCTCTCATGGACTTATTTTGATTTTCTTCAGCTTCAACTTGAACCTGCATGTGAGCAGAAAGATGTTTACCTGTGTTTTCTTGACTATGCAGAAGCATCTGACGGTGTGCAGCATAACCAGTTATGGATAATACTGTAAAGTATGGGAATTCTAGAACACTTAATTATGCTCATGAGGAACCTGTTCACAGACCAAGATGCAGTTTGTTCAGACAGAACAAGGGGATACTGCATTATTTTATTTAAAATCAGGAAAGGTGTGCATCAGGTTTCTATCCTTCCACCATACTAATTCAGTCTGTATGCTGAGCTAATAACTTGAGAGATGGACTGTGAAGAACAGCATCAGAATTGGAGGGAGACCCATTAACAACCTGAGCCTTGCTTGCTGAAAGTGAGAAGACTTGAAGCCCTTATTAATGACGGTCAAACACTCCAGCCTTCAATATGCATTACACTTCAACGTAAAGAGAACAGAAATCCCCACAACTGAACCAGTAAGCAATATCACAATGACTGGAGAAAAGGTTGAAGTTTCATGTTACTCGCATCCACAATCAGTGTCCTTGGAAACAGCAGTCAGGAAATCAGACAGCACGTTGCACTGTGCAGATCTGCTGCTGGAGACCTTTTCAAGTGTTAGCAAAGATGTCACTTTGAAGACTAAGGTGCACCTGACCTAAGCTATGGTATTTTTAATAGCTTCATATGCATGTTAAAGCAGGACAGTGAATAAGGAAGACCAAAGAATTGAAGTAGATGAATTTGACATATGGATTTGAGATACGGACTGCTGACTGTGCTGAGGTAGAGAGTGAAGGAAAGAGGAGTCAGGAATTCCTACAGTTTGGCTTGAACAACTGAGCTGAGTCAAGTTAGGGGAGCAAGGTCAGAAGAAATAGAAAGTGGTTCTTGCTCTGTTAAATTTGATAACAGATGAAAGTTTTGTGTTTAACTTGTATTTCCCATAATTACTTTTAATAAGTTTCCTAAAATGGGCACTCTTGCCTGTAGCTTTTAAATCTCTAAATTCCATCCACTGATTCTTCTTTAAAAATATCACAACTGGCAGGATTCCTTTTTCCACAGAAACCTGATTGTCTTCCTAAAAATATTATGTGTTTTTTTTTTCTTCATCAGAAACTATAGCATGATATTGGGACCCAGGACACCAGGTTTTAACTGATGGCACATTAATTTGTTCTTTTCAAGTCTGAATTATTACAGTCTATATTTTAATCTTGAATCCATTTTCTCTGTCCTCTAATCTTTTTAACACCTAGCCATTGGAACAGGTTGTGTACCAATTGATTATATATGCATTGTGTGTGTTTTTGTGTAGTTATTCTAGTATAGACAGAGAGCTTTTGGCTAACAAGATCACCAGTGGAAAAAACTGTATCCCTAACAAAATAAACAATAAATCAGATGATGTTTTTGTATTCCTGAGAGTTTTCAGGAAAATACTGAACTATCTGGTTACTTTAATCCAACCATTAAATATTCTCTGATTAATTCTCAAACATAATGTCATGGAATTAGAATCACTAACATTTCAAAGTTTATTTGTGTGGAAGTAAGATGTTCTGGATTACAGCCCAGGCTTCAGATTTACTGCCCAGCTTTGCCTCTCCTAGCTCTGTGACCTTCAACAAATTATTTAAGCAGCTGCTTCATCTGTGAGATGAAAATAGTAACAGTAGTGACATCAGTGAGGTGGGAACTATTATCCCATTTTACAGATATAGGAAACTGAGGTTCAGAACTTAACGGCTTTCCCAAGGACTGTTGTTGTTTGTTGTTATGTGCCATTGACCCTCCTCGGGTTTCTGAGGCAGAATCACTATGGAAGTAGATTGCCCAACCTACCTTCCCAGGAGTGGCTGGTGGGTTTGAACCGGCAGCCTTCTGGTTAGCAGTCAAGCGCCTTAGGCATTATGCTACCAGAGCTCCTCCCAAGGACTACTATATATATTTTAGTATTATATTTTAGGTGAAAGTTTACATAGCAAATTAGATTCCCATTTAATAATTTTTATACAAATTGTGCTGTGCCATTGATTTCATTTTTCACAGTGTGTCAGCATTCTTATTTCCATTCTGTTTGTTCTGTGTCTATTAATCTAATTTCTCTACTTTCCTTGCCTTCTCATCTTTGTTTCAGGATAAATGTTGACCATTTGGTCTCATGGTTGATTATTTAAGGCAGCACATTATTCATGAGGGATACTGTTTATGTTACAAGCCAATATATTACTTGGATGAAAGGTGACCACTGGGAGTGGCTTCAGTTCTAAATTCAAAGATGTTTTAGGTCGATAGCCTCAGGGTGCCTCTAGTTTCTATCAGTCCAGTAAGTAACTCTGGCCTTTTTTTTAGGAATCTGAGTTTTGTTCTACAGTTTTTTCTATCCAGGACCTTCTTTTGTGTCACTGGTCAGAAAGATCAGTAGTGGTAGCTGGGTACCATCTAGTTTTTCCGGTCTCAGACTAGATGAGGCCGTGGTTCGTGTGGGCTGTTAGTCTTATGGACTAGTTTCTCCTCTGAGTCTTTGGTTTCCTTCGTTCTCTTTTGTTCCAGACGAGTAGAGACCACTATTCGTACCTTAGGTGGCTGCTCACAAGCTTTAGGACCCCAGATGCTACCAGCAGACTAGGATGTAGAATGTTATCTTTCTGAATTCTCTTCCGGCACTGACAGAGTGTTCCCATGAGACTATGAGCTTTTGGATATATTGCATATTTAATTAAAATTAATACTGGGCTAACAGTTTGATTTGGCTATCTTGTAATGAACTATTTTGTTTTTTGAATTTATTAAATTTATCGATCTCATATTTAAATGTTATCATTTAAAAAATACAGGGAAAGGAGTGTTGATTTTCTCATGCTCCCATATAGAAATGGCATAGGAAATATTCCAGTAATCCTAACCTGCTTTCACCTATTGATTATTATTTAATTTTTGATCAAGAGGCTCTTCAGCCATTGGAAAGCTTTGTTCAAGCCTCAGCTCTGCCCTATTCTTTCATATTTAGTTCTTGAAAAAGTGAAAAATGCTTCTCATTTCTAGACTCAGTGTTATTAGGCAAAAACATCTTGAAACATGAACAATATGGTTGAAGGCAGTTTTGATTCCCAAGACTGATTATATTATCTACAGAGAAGAATGATTCAAAGATGCCGGCATATTTCTCTTGTCATCATTGATTGGTAATAGCTTAATTACTGGGGATTTTCTGAAAAGGAAAATTAACCTTTCTTTTCTTTGCTATTAATACTAATCTGAAAGACTATTTTCATCTGTAATGATATTTTTAAAGTTGTTGTATATGGTACATGTCTTTTATTTCTTAAATTTTTTGTTAGGCTGTTTTAATCTTTCTTCACAAACTAATTCCTCCTATTTTTACTTTGATCAGCTGACATCCTCAAACTAAGGGACCTCTTAAGTGTAGCAGTGTAGTTTCAAAGAAGGGGCAGTCTCCTTTCCTGGTTTCCTGGCATACCTTTTCCTCTTACATAGCTGAAAATAGGAATAACCACTTAGGAGATTTATTTATGTTTGAATTTTGTTGTAAATTTAAGCTTAATTCCCACAGTAGAAATAACTTGATGGAGCCAAGGAGGGGGGATTACAGCTATATAATATTTGAGTACCGAGTTTTCCCCAAAATGTTTTTCTATTCTGTGTTTTTTTCCCTCTCTACCAGTGTCTTCATTTGTAGCCTTCACTGACTTTATCACCTTTAAGTAATTTTATATTTTGCTCTTTAAGACAGTAACTGATAGGCGGGGACCGCGATCCTGGGCTGGAGTCGCCGTCGGCGGGTCAGAGCGCTGGCGCTGCTCTGGCGCCTGGGGGTCCCCGCCAACCCAAGGCACTCGGAGTGGGGGTCTGCAAGCCTCGTTTTCCCCACCCAATGTCGCAGCTCCAGCCGTCCGGCTGCTAATCGCCGCGCTCCTTTCCGCTCCGGTGTGGGGCGGTGGAGGTCACTTTAGAGGCAGGAAGCCTCCTTCGCGAAGCAGGAATGGAGGTAAATTGTTTAACACTAAAAGACCTGATCAACCCTAGGCAGCCCAGACTAGATTTTGTGACTGAAGATGGGGAGAATGCACAAAAGGAAAATATATTTGTTGACCGATCAAGGATGGCTCCAAAGACTCCAATAAAAAATGAACCAATTGATTTATCCAAACAAAAAATCTTCACTCCAGAAAGAAATCCAATTACTCCAGTTAAGCTTGTCGACCAACAACAGGTAGAACCATGGACACCCACAGCTAACCTGAAAATGCTCATTAGTGCAGCCAGCCCTGACATAAGGGACCGGGAGAAGAAAAAGGGACTGTTCAGACCCATCGAAAACAAGGATGTTGCATTTGCAGACTCTCTACAGCTTGATGTTGTTGGGGACAGTGCTGTGGATGAATTTGAAAAGCAAAGGCCAAGCAGAAAACAGAAAAGTTTAGGACTCCTGTGCCAGAAGTTTCTAGCTCGCTACCCAAGTTATCCCTTGTCAACTGAGAAAACTACTATCTCCTTAGATGAAGTTGCTGTCAATCTTGGTGTTGAAAGGAGACGCATCTATGACATTGTAAATGTGCTAGAGTCTCTGCAACTGGTCAGCCGGGTGGCCAAGAATCAGTACGGCTGGCACGGTCGGCACAGCCTGCCAAAAACCCTGAGGAACCTTCAGAGACTAGGAGAAGAGCAGAAATATGAGGAACAGATGGCATACCTTCAGCAGAAAGAGCTAGACCTGATAGATTATAAATTTGGAGAATGGAAAAAAGATGGCTATCCAGATTCCCAAGACCAACAGCTATTGGATTTCTCTGAACCTGATTATTCCTCTTCATCTGCAAATAGTAGAAAAGACAAATCTTTGAGAATTATGAGCCAGAAGTTTGTTATGCTGTTCCTCGTATCCAAAACCAAGATTGTTACTCTTGATGTAGCTGCCAAAATACTGGTAGAAGAAAGCCAAGATACTCCAGATCATAGTAAATTTAAAAGTAAGAATCTTCACCTACATCCATTTATCAGAACCAAAAGGGTGGGATTTCATATGTTGATGTTTTCTACCTGAGACTATTTTTTTTTATTTTTGGTGAAATTGTCCTTGCATTCATAAAGGATGTGCTGCTATTGTTGTTAGTTGCCATCAAATTAGCTGCAACTCATGGCAACCTTATATACAATAGGACAGAACGTTGCCTGATCCTGCATCATCCTCACAATCACTAGCATGTTAGAGTCCATCCTTGTGGCTGCTAAGCCAGTCCCTCTCACCAGGGGTCTTGTGGCCTCTACTTCACCGAACATGATATGCTCATCTAGCAATTGATCGCCCCGATGATGTCTCCAAAGTCAGACGTTCCCTTGTAATTCATAATGCTAACTGTTTTTTCATTTGCTGATTTTTTGGAAATAAATCATCAGGCCTTTCTTCCTAAAAAAAAAGACAGTAACTGATAAAATATTGAAGTGATTCTGATGCCAACTGCAAAACAGTTTTTCTGGGCGATGCTGTTAGTACTTTGGTATCTTTAGTCAATAAAAATGACCCAGCTGACACAGATGCTTTACAAATAAACTCTAAGGTTGTTGTTGTTGTTGTTGTTATGTGCCGTGGAGTCGGCCCCGACTCATAGCGACCCCTCCTTGGGTTTCCGAGGCAGTATCACTACGGAAGTAGGATTGCCCAACCTTCCTTCCGAGGAGTGGCTGGTGGGTTTGAACCACCAGCCGTCTGGTTAGCAGGCAAGTGTCTTAGCCACTATGCGAGGTGGAACTCTGTTATTGTATGCCATCTAGTCGGTCCTGACGCATAGTGACCCCTCCTCAGGTTTCCGAGGCAGTATCACTACAGAAGTAGATTGCCCCATCTTCCTTCTGAGGAGTGGCTGGTGGGTTTGAACCACCAGCCTTCTGGTTAACAGTCAAGTGCCTTAAGTACTATGCTACCAACTCTAAAAGCTGCTATTTCTTTGTTATTGTTGTTCTTGTTCTTGGCTGCCATTGAGTCAGCACCAGCTGACCCCGTAGATAACGGAACGGAATGCTGCCTGGCCCTGCGCCATCCGCAGGGTCATTGTGAGCCATAGGATAGTCATTGTCTGGTTTTGGGAAATAGATAGCCAGCCCTTTCTTCCTAATCTTAGTTTGGAAGCTCTGTTGAAACCTTTCAGGATCATAGCAACACAGAGGCCTCCACTGACAGACTGGTGGTAGCTGCACATGTGGGGTATTGGCTGGGAATAACCTGGGACTGCTGCATGGGAGGGAAGTCTACCACTGAGGCACCACCTTTACTTAATAATAATGACAGAAGGATCATATTAGCCTAACGGGCTTTAAGTAGTTTCTTCTTTCTTACAGTTCTTTATGCTGCCATAATGAGTATAGATTCTCTTTTTACTCATTCCTTGACTCTTGCCTTTAGCTTCAGTAGGATAAACACTTTTGGATTTGGTACTATTGCAGTGAAAGGGATCATTCCATTTTCTTGAGGATTTTCTGTTTCCCCATGAATTCATCAATCCCTCATTTAAGTAACCAGGTGGGCATATAAGCTTTGGACTGTGGTTCTTTAACCTTTAGGAGTCTTGATGGCAATTCTTTGAATGAAATTTTTCTGTAGTTACTTAAGCTGACTCAACAAAGTAAAAATTAAGTACTTCTGCTGTGCCTTAAACTCACATAAAATCCCTTGATAAGTGACAGTCTTGACATTGACAGTTAATCCCTCCTTTGAGTGCCTAGAGAAGCCTGTCTCATCATCACAAGGGCTTTAGAGCCCACATAAATAGTTGGTGCTTTATTGGTCCAGGTCACATTTCCTAATCCCCAGTTTCCTGTAAAGGATGTAAGTGAGACATTAACCAATCCAGTGTATATGGTTTTCTTGAATCATTGTGTTATCCTGATTGTGATACAATTATATTTAGACACAGATATAGCAATGAAGTATTTTGACAGAGTGGCTGCAGCCAGCAATGGGCCCAAGCACAGCAGTGGTTGGGAGGGTGGCACACAACTGGGCAGTGTTTCATTCCCTGGTACATAGGGTCACTATAAGTCGGAACCAGTTCAGTGTCACCTAATAACAAGTTATGTTTTAAGGAGCCCTGGTGGCGCGGTGGTTAAGTGCTTAGCTGCTAACCAAAAGGTTGGCAGTTCAAAACCATCACCCATTCCACGGGAGAAAAGACCTGGCAGTCTGCTCTTATAAAGACTATAGCCTAAGAAACTCTGTATCCTGTGGAGTTACTGTGAGTGGGAATCAAATCGGCACATACAACTATCATTTTATCTCTATTCTGAGCAGTTGTAGCCAATTACCTAACTGCGTCAATACTGCTAACATGTTCTTAAGCTTACATAGCATCATCAGTTTTTCTCACTGGCTTTTAGTCTTAGTTATTGTACTGAAACCTCCTCCTCTTTCCATTTTCTGTACAGCTGGGTATTTGCTTTTTTCCCCCCCTCCTTTTCTTTTCTTGGAGCTGCAATATTTTTGCCTGTCTCGTTCCCTTCTCCCGTAGGCCCATAGGGGTCATTTCTGTTTTGTAAGCTTTGGGCCTTAGGAGAACGGGTATAAATTCTCTCTTCCCTTCCTTTCCCATGTAAACTCTTCAGCTTAACTTCCTGCTTGGTTTTACTTTTTGTCCTTCAGAATTTGGTTCCTCTTTTCTCTAAGGAACTCTGGTGGTACAGTGGTAAATCAAAAGATTGGTGGTTTGCACCCACCAGCTGCTCTGTGGGAGAAAGATAAGGCAGTCTGCTTTGGTAAAGATTTACTGCCTTGGAAACCTTAATGGGACAGTTCTACTCTGTCCTGTAGGTTCACTTTGAGTCAGAATCAACTCGATGCAGTGGTTTTGGGTTTTTTCTCTCACTAGTGGCATCATCACTCCACTTACCCTATTCCCTTTTTTAAGCCACATTTCAGTTATTTCCCATCAAATATCCTTTTAAATTAAATAGTTAAACCATTATAACTACAATCTTTGTAAACTTTGGGTTATGATTTACTGTTTTTAGTGTATGACTTTTGGGTTCTTTGGTGCTCAAACGTAAGCCTCAATGTCATACATGCAGACCCTCTTCAGCAGCAGGCTGATTGCTTCCTGAGCCACAGCAGCCTGTGCTTACTGGACATGCACGTGCTGACAGTCCGAGTCAGCCTCTCACGTGTAGTGTGAATAGTGTACTCCATCAGTGCCAAAATGTGTTTTTACATCTGAAATCAGGATTTGTATTACAGTCAGTAATGTGTCATAGTTTAACTGGCATCGTTTTCTCTCTTAGAGGTATGTAAAATACCAGTGGTATATTTTAAAATGGATCATATCCTAGATTAGTTGAGATACAGTAATGATACTAGCAATAGCTAACATTTGTGGAGTACCTACTGTGTGCAGGAAGTTTTCTAGGTGCTTTATGTGTATTATCTTATTTAATCCTTACACCATCTGTAGGAAGTAGAGATGTACAGATAGAAATGCTAAGGCGTAGAAAAGTTCAGCTGTTAAGTGTGGGGTCTGAGACTTGAACCCAAGCATCAGAACAGTTTCAGAGCTGCCCTCTAGCCACACCCCTGTCCACTGTGCTGTACTACCTCTTCATAACTTTTTTTTTTTTTTTTCTCTTTAAGGCATCGTTGGCTTCATTGTATGACTGATGATCCTCCAACGACAAAACCACCTGTTGCTCGTAAATTCATTTGGACGAACCATAAATTCAACATGAGTGGCACTCCAGGACAATATGTACCTTATTCCACCACTAGAAAGAAGATTCAGGAGTGGGTCCCACCTTCAACACCTTACAAATAAAGACAATGAAAAACAATTTAAACATGTGAAAAATCAGCTTTTCATTAATTGCGTTTTGATTCTTACAATTACCTTGATTAAAATTGTTTGACTAAACAATGTCTTATGTATCTTTTTGCCCTTGACTTTGTCATTCATCCACTGCAAAATAAAAAGCAGCTTATCAACATGGATAATTGAAGTAGATGTTGCTTAGTGTAGCTGCCAGATTTACAATTCCCCCTTTTCTGGGAACATTGTTGGCTTTGTGACTTTGCCTCACTGCTGTGGCTGATTGATGAGGGCAGACCTAAACCCAGACTGAGCCAAACAGCTTCTCTCATGGGGATTTCAAATGAATGGAGAGACACAGAGGTAGATGGCTAGTATGGTAGCTTTCTAAGGAGAAGGTTATTATTTCCTGAGTCTTACTTAGCATTTTATTTGAATCCATGAACTGTCCCAGAATGCATTCCAATATATTTTCATTTCTTTGAGCTAACATGTTGTCAGGTGCTGTCAGGTTGGCTCTCATACGACATTGTATATAACAACGAAATGTTGCCTGGTCCTGTGCCGTCTTCAGGTCAAGGGTATGTTTGAGTCCATTCTTCTGGCTGTTTGTCAATCCATCTTACTGCTGGTTTCCTTCATTTTCACTGACCCCCTACTTTACCAATAATGGTGCCCTTTTCTAACAGTTGGTCTTTCCTAATGATGTGTCCAAAGGAAGCAAGCCAATCCTTGTTACCCTCACTTTCAAAGAGCACATTTTAGGGTGTTTAGTCTAAGAAGTAAACTGCCAGTTTCACCATGATGTCGTGCTGTGTTTCCGAAAAGATAGGTGCTCTTTGTAAGGATTTGTAATCACTTATGTGATAGCTCTCAAAGACCTCTAGGTTTGCATCACTATAAATCTTGCTCTTACATGTGGAAGAATCCTAATTACAGCAGTCTCTTCAAACACATTAATTCATACACTGATGCCAAGTGTCCATGAGGATGAAGTGGCAGTTGCATCATTAGTGCACAGTAATAAAGCCACATTTGTCAGCTCTAGCTCTAGGATGGTCCTCACAACTGGACCAATGAGCAGCATCACAATAAATGGAGAGAAGATTGAGGTTGTCAAAGAATTCACATTGCTTGGTTCTACAATCGATGCCAACGG